TAATAAAAGCAATCATTATTTATTGTTTTACAAAGTAAAAATTGTTTCAAACCATTATTCTAACCTTTAAACGTTGCAAAGTATTTTCAATTGTATTAAGAAGATTTTGCTTTTCTGTTATTTGTTCAATATCAAGATCTTTTTCATCCACATCACATACTTTATTTTTCAGCTTCTCCAAACTGGTAAATTTATCCTAAATGTTATAATTAATAATAAATAAATTAATAAAATTTGCATTTGAATAACAAAAAACAATCTTTTACAAAATTCATCATAAAAATAATGATAATATATACATACTTTAATATCATGCAAATGATTTTCAAGCGCAGAAACAGTCTGATCAACAGTATCACTTGCGGTAATAGCAGATTCTATTGATGAAAGCTGCAAATCAAGTTCATCCTTGGTTGCATTAAATGCTGCTAATGCGGCAAGTTTTTTTCCAACTGCATCCGCTAAACGTTTTAATAGATTGTTAAGTTCTTCTACTACCCAATTACTTTTTTCGCGTAATTCATCACCTTGTTCATCAGATGGAATATTATTAAGTAAATGTTCAAGTTGAATCTTTTTCGATTCTAGCTCACTCAATGCAGCATTTTGTTCATCAACTGTTTGCATTGGTGATTCTTCAAATTGATTGATGTAATTCTGTACACATTCTGTAATGGCATATATTTTGGGAAGTATTGCATTTACTTCAGCTTGATTCATTAATTTTTGTTTTTTATCATCAAGCAATTTTTGAAGTAATGTAACACGATCAGAAAGATTCTCATTCATTGTATCACGTTTGACTAAACCTTCTGAAGTTTGTAATTTTTCTTCCAACTTCTTAATTTGTCCTTTAAGTTGTTGCAAATTTTTTATTAATTCATCGATTTTATCCGATTGTTGTATTGTATCGATATTATTTACTTCAATACCAATAACTTCATCGCCCATTGAATTTAATGCATTGAGCGTTTCACGCAAATTGTGCATCAATTCTTGCTCTTTTTGACAGTCTTTTTCAAGAGGAATAAGCAAATTTCTGATATGGTTTTTAATGAAATCCTCTCTTTTTGCTAAATGCTTCTTAACTTGTCGATTGATAATATTATCAACTGATGATGATGAGATTTCATCCAGAAGAGAATGTAAATAATTTACATCTTCAACAGCTACTACTAGCTCTTGAGGATTATTGTATTTATTGAGCAAATTATTACTTTCCTCTTCAACGTGATCAAATAATTTTTCAATATCACTATGCATTTTGTCTTGCTCTTTGGCACTATTTAATTTTTCATCTACACGTTTTGCCAAATCATTATGTTGATCATACAATATATTGAATTGTTGATAAAGTTCTTTTTCTTTATCTGTTTTCACTGATAACATCAGCTCTTTAATATGACTTGATTTTTCTAGTATTGTTGGAAGTACAATATCCTTAAAATTGTTCAATTCATTGCTTGCTGTTACATCAATTTTGTTCAAACCATTTTCTGCATCAGCAAGTGTCTGTTGCAAATCATTGATCAAACCGGAAAGATTATTTTCACTTTCAAATTCCTGCTTCTTCTTCATTACATCATCACGCCATTCATGAAATATATTGCTGAGATATGATAAACGAGCACTTAATTCATCTATATTGCATATATCTGCTATTGATATAGATGACAATTGTTCTTCTTTTAATTCATATAACTTTTCAATTGCATTCTGTAATTTGGTAATCCTGTTGAATCCTTCATCAGCAACTGTTAAATTACAGTCAGCATTTGGTGCTTCTAGTTCACGTGCATCACTTTCAACTTTTCTTAATTCCTCACTTATATTATGTGCTATTTCTTCGAATTTTTTCAATGCATCAACACGTTCTTCCAAACTTCTTTCTAAATTGTCGTATCTTTCATTCAATAATGACAATTCCTTCATTGTTTCAGTACGTATCAAATCTGCGTCTGATGTTTTTGGCAATTGATCATAAATATCTTGCAATCTTTCCAAATATTGTCGAGCATTTTTTAATCTTATTACTGCTTCTTGCAAATTAATCGCGCTTGCATTTGCATCATTTTCAACTTTGTAAGCATCATCAAGCGCAGTACATAATTCTTCTCGTAAATTCTTCATTTCCATTTGCATATTTTGATTTTGTATATGTCTTTTCTCGGCATCACTCACAAGTTTGTTAACTTTTTCATAGTCAGCAAATATAGTTACTACTTTGAGTTCATCCGAATGTAATACTAATTTAATCGGTTTCTCTTCATTTTTCTTTAATTCATTCAATTTTTCGCTTACTTTTTCTAATCCAGTTCTTATTCTATTAATTTCTTCTTTTTGTTCTTCGCTATCTAATATATTACCAATATTTTCAGCTTGTACATTTAGATCGTATATATCATTAATTAGATCATTTTGCGTATTAATAAGTTCCTTTTGTATTGAAACATCTTCAGTCAATGCTAATAATAATTTCTGAAATTTATATAAATTCATTTTAATCAAATTAAAAAATTTAGAAAAAATACAATAACAATTACAAACTTCTTCATGCTTAAAACGTAATGAAAAAAATAAAATATAGAAAAAGGGAAATAAAAGCAAACCTCAATATCATCAGCAAATTTTTCAGTATTTTGCTTCATTGAACTGATCATATTGAGAACAGGATGATATTTGGATGATTTAATTATCACTTCTTCCTTATCCTTTATCATTTGCAATATTGACACAAGTTTATGTTGCAATTCTTGCAAAATATTGATATCATTTACTGCTACCATATACGGTTGAGCTTGTGAATAATTAGTAAGCAGTTTATTGTATTCATCTTGAGTAACACGTATTTCACTCTCTATTTCTTCTTTTTCTACGCACCAATTTTTAAG